TGTCGATATTGCGAGATGCTGGTTGTCTTCATTGTCTCCTTCMGAGTATAGTGTCAYGTGGCACTTCTGTGTGACCGAGATTTATCAGACTTGTTACTGTTATTGAATGTTGACGTGGAGGAGGAAGAAGCCCGGAGAAGAAGTGGGACTGGTTGGGTTGCTATTGTGTGATCTTCTCCCACCTTCTCCCTTGTCTATTCCTCCCTCCACTCTCTTCGTCTATGGTAACGAGATACTGTTGCAGATGTCATTTTCACGTTAATTGGAGACTTTGAACAGATCTGTGACTACTGGAACTTCGACGTTTGATGAGTATCTTCCTGACTGGGTTCATTACACATGCTTCATGCCAACCTAGGTGAAGGACCAGAGGAGAGTAGCATAAGTCTTCCTCCAACCGAAGTGGCCCTCAGTGTCGTGGCATTCCCCCAAGATTGCAATCTTGACGGTCTCATTGTTCGGAATGCAGAGTTTGTCAAACTTGTCAGTTTTCTCAAATAACAGTCCACCAGTCTCTCTATAGCCTGGGACTTCATGCGGTGTAGTCTGCACTTTTCTAATTAGTTCGTTGTAAACGGGATCTTCAATGTATGCAACCTTAATCTGTTAATTCATCCCGGTGCCCGCATCGAGGTAAGTTACGATGGCACCGAAGAAATTTGCGCACCTACTGAATGCATCGGCGACGACGTTGTACTTACCCTTAACTGGCTTCAACTGAAAAGTCAATTTGACCTATCTCTCCGGCCCACCCTGTCAACTTAGGGGTCATCCGGGCCTGGGTCTATGCCAGCAGAGGGCCTCGTGGTCAGACTTGACTTTAAAGTGTCTTCCTAGGAGATAGTGACGCCAGTGATTTAGTGCTTCCCTCAAAGCGAACAACTCGCGCTCATAGATCGATGCGGCGACCTTCTCACTAGGCAATCTACAAGACATGAAATCCACTGGCTTGTACCCCTCTCCATTGTTTTGCTGGAGTACGGCGCCAATTCCATATTGGCTTGCGTGAGTCGTGACAATGAACGGGAGTGATGGGTCTGCAATCTTTAGGACCGGGTACTCGATTAAGGACCTTTTATGTTTCTTGAAAGTTGAGGTACAGTCTTTGTCCCAATTCCAAATTGTCTCTTTCCTCAGCAGTCTACGCAGTGGAGCAGCACTCGTGGTAAAGTTCCAGGCGAGCTTTCGATAATAGTTGGTCAATACCAAAAGGATCGCAGCTCAGTCAACGTGCGCAGTGTAGGCCAATCTCTAATTGCAGCTATTTTCTCGTCTTGCGGTCGGACCCATCTCTGTCTAACACACGGCCTAGGTACAACACTTGGCGCTTAGCCCATTCACACTTCTTCGGGTTTAACTTGAATTTCGCAGTGCACAACTTATCTAAAATTAGACGCAGATGCTGCTGGTGCTCCTCTAAAGCCTTGCTAAAAATCAAGATATCATCTAGGTAGACGACTACAAATCTATCTAGCCACTCTTGAAAGAGATCATGCATGCATCTTTGCAAGGTCGCAGGGGCATTCGTCAAACCAAACGGCATGTCACAAACTAGTAGTGGCCATAGCGAGTTCTAAAGGCCCTCTTATGCTGGTCTTTGGGCTGTACCTCTATCTGGTGGTACCCCGACTTCAAATCGGTCTTGGAGAAATACTTGCAACCCTATACTCTATCCAAAAGGTCGTCTAACCGGGGCAATGGTTCGGCATTTTGATGGTGACTGCCTAAAGTCCTCTACAATCAATGCACATCCGCAGTTCGCCTACCTTTTTCGACACGAACAGAACTGGTGTGCCGTACGGCGAGTAACTAGGCTTCATCCACCCCTTTTCCAAGAGTTCGTCTAGCTGCTTGAGCAGCTCATCTAGCTCTATGGGAGACCCACAATATATGGGGCCCTTGGGAATTCGGCTACCGGGTTCTATCTCGATCCGGTGCTTTATTTCCCTTTCAACTACGCATGTCCGCGCCCCTCCCACATCAGCGAACTCTCGCAACAAACTCTCTATTTCGAGTGGCATCTTCTACTCCTCCTTTTTGCTTTCGCTAACTGATCTTACGTAGGCTACAAAAAGTTGGTCAGCTAAATTGCTTTTGACCACGCGCCTGGCAAACGCGGGGCCACCCATGCAATAGAGGGACAAACTGGACTCTACTCCGGACTCGTGGAACAGCCACACTTTCTTCTTAATACCTTCGGGGCTCGGCAGCCAGCACTCATGCTCGCCCATCTTCACGCCAGCCCTCGTGACCTCTCCTCAATCCGTCCCTAGAATTAAGTCGAAGGGAAGGCTATCCTCCACTAAGGGGGTCCCAGAGTGCAAAACTTTCTCCACCTTAGTCCCCCCCTCCAACCAGAAATATGCTTGCACCCCCTCGACGTATTCACTTACAACCATCTCTCGATTGTCGGCTAGTTTACTAACTACCGGCTCATCTAACTTCTTCACCTTCATGCTGAGGTGCATCTTTTGCAACCCTTTCCGGCTAATCCAGCTACACGTACATCCACTGTCAACTGGCGTGCCTACTCGTTCTCTATTGATCTCTAGATCGATTATTATTAGCTGCCCTTCGAGTTTCTTCTTAAGCTTGGCGACGAGTGATCAGCTCATCACCGACTCTTGCAAGGGAGCCACCTAGAGATGACCCTAGCACAGGCAGTCTCCGGACAGCTACCTAGGTAGGCGCGTACACCAGCCTCTGCCATTGGGCTCTTTAGACAGGAGGGTGCTTGTGCAGCGCGCACTTCTATTTGTTTATCTGTGTATGAAGGTCTTGTAGGGGCAGCTACAACCTCTATTGTTTGTTCCTTTTTGGGTACCGATACTCAGGGTGAAAGGGAACAATGTGGTTGGGGTCACCACACTTCAGGCATTGATTTGCCTCGAGCCGTTCCTTCCACATCTTGTAGTTTATATTCATCTTCTTCCAGGGTTCTCCTGCAGTGATCCCTGGGTGCACTGGGTACGGCCTTTGTCCTCTTCCCCTTCCCCCATTGAAGGTAGAACCACGTCCGCCTTGCGGGGAACAATTACCCCTACCTCCCACGTAATAGCTACCTTCACTCCCCTACGTGTCAGGTCCTCTACCTCCATCTCTACCTCGGCCCCCTCTACCTCGGCCTCCTCTTCCTTGTCACCCTCCCCCGCGGAATCCAGCGGCGAGTAGTCCCCTCCCTGGGCCACTCGGCTGCTGTTTTGCTCTTCCAGTCCATAATCTATGTTCTCATAGGGTAATGTTTCAGCTCCCCCTCCCTCAAATGTGACTAGAAGGTTATCCTTCCCCTCTATACTACCAGATATCGTTCTATTCTTCCGGCGGCCTCCTTTTTGCAAGTCCTTCCAAATAATGGCAATAGTTTGCCTCTTGGAGGAAGTCAGCCTGGTCTACAACTATCTTACCAAACTTCTCATTTCGGGCATACAACTGGGTCCTATGGGGCTCAGGAAGTGCTCGTGCGAAATTGTTTAAGACCTATGCGGGAGTGAGATCGTGTTCGGGGCACTGTAGCAACTCGTCCATGGTGGTTTTTAGTGCCAATACGCTCTTCCATTTTCGGTCTGCTATATTGAGGATCAAATGTTCAGTGCGCCGGGCCAGGTTCTTATCTTCGAACCTATTCTTTAGGGCCTTGAAGAAATCCTTAATGGGGGTCTGTTGGGAATACTCTACCATCGAAGAGCAGCCCGCCTCCTTCACCAAGGATACGGCAAAGTTGGCAGCATCTCCACCCAAACACGAAGTTGGCACTAGAACACGGTCCCAGTGTGGAATCAACTGCGCGTAAAGGTGCGTGCCCATGTGCACCTCCCACTGGTAGAAGTTCTCCTCCTTCTTCCCGTTATAAGTCCAGGGGATCTTCACTTTTATCTTTTCTCTCCTTTCTCCCCCTTTAGACTGTTCTTCCTCGTTTCGACCTCCCTCCTTCTTCGGGCCTTTGCCCCCCTTCCCATCATCACCATCGTCATCTCCACCATCTCCACCTCCACCACCGCCACTTATCCTTACTGACGCGATGGTGTTCACCAATTTCTTGGTGAAGATGTCCTCTAACTGATGGGTATAATTTTGAGTCCTATCGTCAATCCACTCTTGCCACTCAGCCTTTAGCCCTATGGTTTGAATTGTTTCGTTGTGTTTTTACCCGGACTTTATTGAATGACCACAAAGTATTTTATTTTGAGAGTTGCACAAAGAGTGAGGCTTGAATGGCTAAAGCAAGGGGTATGAGCGCAGAGAATGGTTGAAGTTGACCCCGTGTAGTGTGTGGACTTTTGGTTGAATCTTTGATGTGATTGCAGGTATATTTGTGGTTCGGACCTTGGATTTGACTGCCTGCGATCTCATACATATATATGGCTGAGAGGAGTCCCACTGTGATTGTGAGACGTGATAGTCACATATTTATAACCCTATATATATATGCATATACATATGCGCCGAGTGTTCGCGCGGCCTATTGTGACCGTGCGCAAGCGTTAAACAGATTATGCATTGAGAGAAAAGGGAGATCCCTTTTTTTTTTTCTTTTTTTTTTTGAAAACAAATGCTCCAATCTATTCGTGGGGAGCAACACGTGCTGGGAACTGGGCCCTATCCTTTGCTTTTTAGAGTTTTCATTGTAGTCCGTGGCAGCCGTTAAGGTCAAAACCCTTGAGTTCTCTCTAGACCCTAGATGATGGAGTTGGTTTCCAAGGCAATGGAGCAGCCCGACAGATAAGACCTCGATTCTAGTGGTTTTCTTACCAGCATCGGAATGGAGGGCTTACACAAGGGCTCTTAAAAAAAAAAAAAAAAAAAAAAAATGATTGCCACTACAGGTATGAACTTGTATACCCCCCACTCTCCGCAGGATGCAAAAGAGGGTGTGGTTCTCAACCGCACTTGGCGGTTGTCGAGCATTGAGAGATTAACCCCTCAAGGCATGTGTCGGCCAACACTTGAGTGTCGAATGCGACCCTCGAGATCAACGAGGGCCGCATGAGTATGGGTACTACATAGTACGCCATCATTGCGACTGCTTGCGTATGCTTGCATTGCTAGTCGATATGAGTAGGCCCTGCATCCGCGCGGTTTTATACTAAGTCTCACACACGTCGCCTATCCGATTTCCGTGTCGAAAAGTTATGGGATGGCTACCGAAGAGACTAGGATTGTGTGTTGTTTCGTGTGTGTGTGTGTGTTTAATTTTATGTCCTAAGTGTGATGTGAGGCGTGGTGAGAGAGATACGTCCTAGTCGACCAACGATGAGCCACGCTTGGGACTTCAGCCCCCCAGTGCGTCGGTTCGCATGTGGGTTCAATGGAGGCGTGGAACTGCACGTACCCCCTATGTTACAGCGTACGAGAAACGCCCTCGGCTGGTCCACCTCGGCGATTGCAGCTGATTAGCTTTCGTACTGTGGACCGCTAGCTCGGCAGGGATACGCCCACCGAAGGGAGGTGACAACTCCCGTAAGGTGGAGGTAAGTCGTACCTCGCGTTGGCCCTATCCTGTCGTAGGGGCTCGCGAGAGGTATGGCTGGCGCACTCGGCCGGAGCGGCTTGCGGAAGCTCCATGTGTATCGCGACGGGGATTAGACCAACTCCTGCGTGACGCAGCCGGGAGGCCCGCCCTGCGGGGTGCGAGACGGATGCGCTCGACAACGCTGCGCTATTTTGAGATTAGCGCAACTCCAAGCAGAGCGCTGGGTTAGCGCTAGCTACAGGCAAGAGAGAGAGAGAGTCACGACTTACCTGGTACCTACCTGAGAGTGTCATAGCTCCGACAATGAGGGCAAGTCTTCAACGGCTCCAAGGCGACACCTTGCACCTGCAGGTTGGTGCCTGAGCACTGGATCCGGGTTGGGGGATCTTCCTCCACCCCACCTCTCCATCTCCACCTTCTCCTGCCCCTCTCAGTTCTTCGTCTCCTTCTTCTTCTTCTTCTTCTTCTTCTTCTTTTTTTTTTTTTTTTTTTTTTTCTTCTCCTAATCTTGTACCTTCTCGGTTACTATGGGACAGAGATCGATGGTGAGGTATCGGTGACCTATGTATCACCCGTGGTCGTGACTGCGGGCCATTTGACCGCACGAGGTCGGCATCCCGACCTCAATGGGCGGCGCCCGCGGCCAAGTGCGGTCGGAAAACTCCGACATTTTTAAATCCTGGGATAATAGGCCAAAAAATAAAATAAAAATATAAGGGTGTAGGTTTTTGTGCGCTCTACAACCGTATATTTTTAGTTTTATTTTTTGACTTCTTTTTTATTTAAAAAAAAAAATTGAAAAACAGAAATCCCTCAGGCAAAAGTTCTTTACTTTATTTTTTTAGTAAGAAAAATAAAGGATTTTGTTTGATTTTTATCTCAAATTTGGTAACGAATTTTGATATGAAACCAGGCAAAAGTTGTTCAGTTTATTTTTGGGCATAACATATATTTTTTTCAGATTTTTCTGAATTCTTTCTTTTTTTTTTCTTTTTTTTTTCATGACCGCGGACCTTGGTCATGACCGCGATCGTGCCCGCGGCGACCGCGATCGTGCCCGCGGCGACCGCGACCGCGGAGGATTCATAGTCGGTGACATCATGACTGAGACTATTTCATAGTAGGATGTTGGGAGGACTATTTGGAGAGCTGTAACCAACGGCATTTTGAGATTCTGTAACTTCGACATTCCGAGATTCTGTATCTTCGACATTTCGAGATTCTGTATCTCCGACATTTCGGATTACTATTTCGATGAGTTTGTGTTGGCGCCATCTCCTCCTCCTCCCTTCGTCTCTCCCCCCTACATTCGACCGTGTGTGCTGTATGGCGCATCTTCTATGTTTGAGCATCAGGCCTTCTCACCCAATCTACGTATGTGTGTCAGCCTGTGTGTAGTCCGAGTCAGATGTGAGTTCAGATCCATGTTTTCAAGTCTTCCGCTGCATTATGTTGCTCTCTATATTGGTCGGTTCTAGGTTCTGCATCATACTTGTGTTCACTTTCACTAGTATGCAACAGTTTGGTATCGGAGCAGACCAGATTGGATATGCTCACAGATACACTGATCGATTGACTAATCGATCGATTGATTGGCCCTTCGGGAATTCCGATTGACTGATTGATTGATTGATTAGTTGATTGATTGATTAGTTGATTGATTGATTAGTTGATTGATTGATTAGTTGATTGATTGATTAGTTGATTGATTGATTGGTTGATGTAGTTCTGACTAGTAAGAAGCGAGATGATTGATAGATCAGTTAATGGAAGTTGATTGATTGGTTGATTAACATTGTTTCCTTGTCAGATCTGCAGTTGTCATCAATTTTCAAGTTGCAAAATTTTCTCTTTTCTGTAATTCAGCAAGAGCTAAACACTAGTAAACAGCGATTTTTTGCAATCTGGAAATTTGCGTTAATATAGGGTTGACACCGGGAATTTCACGGATTTCGCAGAATTTTAGGTCAGAAAATCCCACAAATTTCGCAAATTTTTTTTCTTTCATTTTGCATTTATCGGTAGCCCGCTTACCTCTGTGAACTCCGTACGGGACCATATTGGGAATTCCCAATGCTGGAAGGTCCGGACAGTTGCAGAACCGCAACTTCCCGAAAGTTTCACCCGCAATCAAGCTCAAAGTTTGCAGGCAGCGAACTTTCGGACCACTACTTGATCTCGGATTGACATCTAATTCCCAACATATTCATTTATTTCATTAATTTTTATTAACTTTTTTTTTTTTTTTTTTTTTTTTTTTTTTTTTTTTTTTTTGTTGGGGGGGGGGTAGCCC